ATTTGTTGTGGCTACGCTCGAATGCACCCAACAACACACCATTTCTATTTTATTCTACTAGTCTTTCACTCTGCAGGGTGGCTCAACAGAATTATGTCCCCAACGATAATTATCAATCAAAATTATGGTCTGAAAAATGGAGGCAGAGGAAATTGCTTACCAGGACGTCAAGCAGGAACAGGACCCCCCAAAAGAAGTAGTGTGATAAGTGAGAGTGGTGAAAGAGAGCAAAGGGGAGAGAGCAGATTTGCATTCGTGCAGTAAAAGAGCGTTTTACCACCACACAACTTATAGTAACCAAGAGAAGTAGACTTTAAGCTTTTAAGAAACAAATAAGGTCAATTCATGGGCATTACATTAACTTTTGAGTTCAGCTCCAGCTGAGCTTTCAAATACTGGGAAATGTTTAAACCTTCAGCAGCATAGTGACATATGGGATTTAAAGAAAGCAATAACTCTTTTTAAAGGATGCGTTCAGTTAATTTGTTTTTCTAAGTCCCACATCAGTTTGAGGCAATGATTTATCCAGATCTCATTTCAGTGTGGGAGAAACTGCAAAAAAGAGTTAGCTACACACCTGAAAGGAGACAAATCATTTAAGCTGAAAACTTTGTTTTGCAAAACGCTATCTTTGCTGTAGCATTTCATCTGTTTCAAAGTAAAATGACTGCAGAGTTTGTTCCATTGTCTCTAAATGGAAACTGTTAATTTGTCCAATACGTTTTCTAAAACTAAAGGGCAAATGGACTGATTCTTATATAGTGGTTTTTTACTCCCCTGGAGCATTCAAAGCAGTTTATATGCCTCGTTCATACATATTTTTGTGCTTAACATTCACACTTTCATGGATGCATCCGGAGAGCAAGTTGGGTTTAGTATCTTATCCATGGACATTTAGTATGCAGATTGGAGCATCCAGGGACTGAACCACCAACGTTACGATTAGCAGATGACCTGCCCTACCTCCTGACTACAGCCACCCCGTGGCACCATAAGCAAGGACACAAATTACTGCATTCACTTAATTGAGAATTCTCTCCAAGTTCCAGTCATCCTGGAACCTCGAGAGCTTTTGCATCTTTTTACCTTCCTCTTAACTTTCCATTAATGCACCTCGACGCAGCGCTTTGCAAACAGTCAGGCTTTTCAGCAATGACCCTCCGCTGCTTACCCTTCTCACGGAGGGTGTCGATGCTCATTATCTGAATAACTATGCCTGCAGTCTTTCCCATGAGTGTAGTTGCATGTACAAAACTAGACAGATACATAGTACCTATACTGTAAATAGCAACCTAACTTAACTGATTGGGACCTGATGAATGTAAAAACAAAGACTTACCAGATTTTCATTTTTTACCTGATTTTTGTTTTTGAGAAAAATGATATATGAGGACATTTCTTTTAATTTCATTAGAACAGTGGCAGTATAACGCCCTCGTAAGTGAATATCAGTCCCTTGTAGAGCTAAATTTAGTATTTTGGTCTAGACCAGCGGTCCCCAACCCCTGGGCCTCGGACCGGTATACCGGTCCATGAGTCATTTGGTACCGGGCCGCGAGAGTTGAAGCTCAGGTGTGAAATGTTTGGTTTTCAGCGTTATTTTGTTATCGTTTTTATCGTTAACTCTGTTTTCCTGGGCCTTTTCATGTGTGTTATGAATAAATCTTATTTTTTTCAGTACCGGTACTAGTTTGATTTTGTTGTATTTATCCGCGACACATTAAAGGCCGGTCCGTGAAAAATATTGTCGGGCATAAACCGGTCCGTGGCGCAAAACAGGTTGGAGACCGCTGGTCTAGACAACCCAAAATGTGATGTCAGGTCCTAGGAAGTTAAAACTAAAATGGCTCGTATGTGTTCGTTTTTGTGTAAAAAAATATATTAAATAAAATGCAAAAAAACCCTCCTTTCACAATATTCCTAATGTTTGAGATGCAATATATATATGTGTGTGTTGATTAATGTCACTGATACAGTAAGATACCAAGTGTCATCCCTCGGCAAAGGCACAGTCGGACTGCAGTGGCATCTTTTGGCAGGACAACGCACCCAGTTACACTACAAAAATGTCTCAGGATTACAGCTCGATCAGACCGAGCCCCAAATTTGGCCTCGCCTCCGCATTGCCCGGATCGGATTGAGCATACGTGGGCTGACCAGAGCAATCCTGATACCACAGCTTGATGGACACACTGCATATGTCCCCATGCCTGATAACACCGTGCACTGTATCGCTGTGTCGATGCCCTGATGTGTCAGAGCTGTTTTATAGTACTGCTCGAGAACACAATTTTCCATGACAAACTGAAGCTGAACTCTCGCAAAAGGACCAAATAAATTTACTTTACCTCTGTGAGAAAGGCCCTCAGACTGCATAAAGTAATCTCAGTGTGACTTATTTCCCATCAGTAAGAGGACTGTAGGCAAAAGAAACATTGTTGGGTGGTGACCTCCAGTAATGGCTGCACTAAACTGGGATCACACGCTTAAAACATAGCCTCTTGGCATGAAGATTTGCAGTGCTGCAAACAATCAGCATTAGCAAACTCTCTTACCGTGCATTTCCTCTCACTTGGGTCTACTGCGAGTCATACTAAGTCAACACGGTGGAGGAAATAACCTCAGTGCTGCATGAAAATGCTTGTTTGTCTGTTCAACAATGCATTCTGTAACCTGCAGCGACCGGAAAATAATGTAAAGGCCTGTTGTACCCATGTGAAGTATAACACTTAGCTGAGGTGCTATAGGTCTGTAAAAGTGCATTTATAAAACTAAAGGTATAAGCTGAGTTTAGGTTTTTTGCAGCGCACGTGTGTTGACCAAAGGGATCTATATATGTGGAAGGAAAAGCAAACCTGTTTGAAATAACTCTGAAATGTTATCATGATTCAATAAATGGAGCCCCTCTGTGAAAAACCTGTTATTATAGAGCATTATTTTGCCACGCAACACTGCTTTCAGATTCTGGTGTATAGCTTGAACACAAAACAACAAGAATAAAAAAAAAAAAAAGAAAAGAAAAAAAATTCTGCCTGAAGCTCATAAATCTTAGAGAAGCATCCCAGAGGAGAGAGACTTATTGTGTGGAGCTGCTGCAAGTTGTTTTGCCAGAAGCCGATCAGTAAAGTACACCAAAGGTCAGATACAACCAATTGTGGGTTGTAGCTCAGTGAAATTTGTCATGGGTGTGCAGAGAGCATCTCATACAGCAGTGATACATTGTATTTGCTTAAGTTTCACATGTGTTCGCCTTGCCAAACCCAATTATTTCCAGATCGGAATTTCCAGATTTGATTGATTTTGCGCCGTGCATACCCGCCTCACTTTGTTTTAAGCTGTAGTGCCAGCACACATGAAAATGTGCCGTTAAAGGAGATACGATCAAGCACTGAAACATAGAAGAAAAGAGGACAGAAATGAGCCTGAGAGGCAGATTTAAAAAAAACAATAGGGAGAGATGGAGTATCCTGACCTTTACAGCAGTGCTTAGTTATATCCTAGACTGCCCATAAGGCAAGCAGATAAAATGAAATTGGCAGAGTGCTCCTTTAAATTTCTCCATTTTTTCCCCTTAATAAAAAGTTGACTTTTTTCACAAATGGACGGGATGACACACACTGTGAGATACAACCAGATTTCCTCAGGTAATACTCTGGGAGAATATATTTCTGTTGTGCTGGGTGAAGAACAAAATTAACCACGCAGTGGCTGCCTACATTACTCACGATGTTTACAGACTTATTTACTGAGTAGAGGGAAGTTAAATACCAGTTTAAATATACACCAGGTGCAGTGTGACTCCAAACTCCATCCTGTTGAGGCTTGTTTCTCTGTCGCGAGAAGGAAAGGGCACACTAAACATTCTTCCTAAATGCAACTGACTCTTCAGCTGCAAAGTGGGGATTCAATAGACAGTGAAGGGTCTGTGCTCTCTGGTGCATTTCGAGTCCTTTGTGGATGGTTATTTTGCCAGATGGCCTTCTTAAACTCTGGGCCACCGTCCTTGCTGCTGCTGCTTTTACTCTTTGCTCTCTTCAAACGTCTGCTGAAGGTCTCAGAGGATCCCACCTTCAGAGCCAGCATATGTGACCCTGAAGTGGTCATATGTGACCATCTGGCCATAATACCCTATGTCAATCATACTGGATCGTATACAGCTTTAACAGTTGACATTTGACATATGGCTTAAATCATTCTTTCTGAACTATTTCATTCTTTCTTAGGAAGACAGCCTTGCAGCCACTTATTCCTTACCTATGCGGAATTACCCAGTAAAAGCTTATTTGCTATAACTACTAGCAAAATTATAATAAACGACAAAGACTTTAAGCTTAATGATGGTTGTGCCTAAAAGATCCTGCACAGTTTCCTTCCTCAATAGTACCTGACCCTCAACCAGGTTGAGAGTAGGTTGTGGGCAGGTTGTGGTCATTGTTCACAGAAATAGTCCAGCACCCTGTTGTGCTCTCTGGGTGATAATACACCAGATGGTCTTCTGGGGGAAGAGAATTTCTATAGTTAATGGTTAAGAAGCAGCAAAAGTGCCAATTGCTTGCCTTACATTTTAGTAAGTACTGAAAAAGCAATTTATTTCCACATAGACTGCAAAAGAAAGGGAAGGAGCTAAAGGATAATTAAATATAAATAGAGCTATAGCTTATAACTCTTAACCGACTGGAAAGTCTATCCATGCTTCTTTGTTAATCTCTTATTCTTCCAAGGTTGCAGTATGGCTGGACCATATCCCAACTGACATTGTGCTCAAGTCAAGGAACCCTGGAGCCTGGACTGGATGCCAGTCCATCACAGAGCTAAGAGAGAGGCCTACATACAGTCAACTTAGAATCCTCAATTAACCTGGCATACATGTAAGAATGGAAACCACAGCACCTGAAAAACTTCCTTTTTCAGACCACAGTTCTAACCATGATATGACTGTGCCAACCAATATCTGGAAAGGAATAAAGAATCAAAGATCAAATAACAAGTAAAGTGCTCACCAGAGGATGTTGAGCACAGTGCAGGTTGTCAGACCTCCAATCACTGCTCTCCGAAACCACAGGATCTAAAGATGAAGACAAGAGAACACGATAACCAACATCCGGCTCAAGCAGCGTAACAGGAGAACATTGTGGAACAATTGCACTACGTAATCACATAACTGCACAGGTGATAATACAGAGTTCCTCAAAAGCAAACTTAGTTGCTACTATTCCAGTCGTGCACTTCATCTAAATGATGCTTAGGCAAACTGATCAGTGGCAGACAGAGAGCATCTTTGTGGGTCTGACTCTTTGTATATGGGCCGTGGATGTGACATGGCAGTTTTACTGTATCACAAGAAATAAAAATTTAATTACCTAGTACTGTCCTCATGGTTAAGAACTTCTCGTTTGGATTTAAATTGACCTATTGTTATAAAACCTCACTTCATTTTTCATTTTTAAAACCTTTTTTTGGCCTGATTTAAAATGTATTTAACTGTAACTGTAAATATCATGTAATAACAACTGCATGTAACCATGTAATTGCCACCCATGAATTAAGAAGGGGCAGATTTTATAAATAACATGCTTAAAAAAGCTGATACACACCTCTGGCATAACTGTAACTATTTTAGTAAATGACATTTTTTTCCCCATACATGCATTTCTAAAAATGTAGTTATTTTAGGTTGAAACACAGTATAAATGCTTCAAAAATGTATATACCTTTATATTTTTTAATTTTCTCTTTCAATATGATCTTTTATAAAACAAAAATATTGTTAGTTATATATTTTTTTTATATGACTCCAACTTAGATGCTAGCCTCTGCAGTCATGCAGGTGCTTGTTTATATGAAAGATTCCATGTTATTCTGACAATGGCTTTGAAACATTACGGCAGCAAAATGCAGGCCTGTAGTCAGGAACCCTGTGATATGAAGATATTTACATCAGGATACTTTTTCATTTCAGAGTAGTAAGTGTGTTTCTATTCTGTCTTTATGTATATTTTCAATTGGAGGATTTTGGAATGGCAACAAAGTTATATGGCATATCTCCACTTATGAAGAATGGAAAAAGCAATCAATCTGCATCTTCTTTACCTGGTTTTCTAGACGTGTAGTAAATGAATAGATTTTCTCATGTTATTTTTTGTTAATCACTAAGCCCTTTTACTCTTATTTATTTAGATTAATAAATGCTTTTGCATGTGTCCAGATGATAGTCTGAGACAGGAGCTTGGTCAATAAAAGACTAGACTGTGTGGCTGGGAAAGAGCCTTGACCTAACAGCATTACTTCTGACCTGACCAATAAAGACTGACCCATCCTGCAGGTAGGGTTAGTGGCCTATCAGAAATGGTGAGATACAGAAAAAGAAACCTGAATTTTTCCTTCCACAAACAATACCTATCAAGAATTCTTTATTTTGAGACCTGGGGTCTAGTTTCCCGTCATTCTGTATGGAAGTGGGCAAAACTCAGCAGACTGTTATTCTGCATACACCACAATCTGCAGTGCATGCCTTTTAAACAGCAGAGAGACCGGCTGGAGGCAGTTTGCCTTCCTCTCGTAACACTCAATAGGAGATACTGGAAATACGACATTTGATTTAAGCGATTGAGTTTAACTGTTTTTTTCTTATATGCCATTTGGCACATGACCCTTGTAGTAGGAAGCCCGGCAAAGCTGTTTAATGTCCAACCTGAGCGTGCCAGACACCTGCATTTCCAAATGCACCATCATGAAGGTAACATCTCAAAATTTCAGGGCTGCAAAGCATATGTCTGGACCGTACTGGGGCCAGCTTACTGTGCATCCAATATCTAGATGCATGCAAAGTCATATATTAACATAAAATCAGAGTAAAACAGCTTAGTGTTGTGAAATGATTTTAAAAGGAATAAAATAATGGAGCAATTTTTGTCCCGATTATGACAGTGGGTCGACTCCAAACACTTCTATCTGATGCAAAATAGGCTTGATGAGTAAGGTCTCACAATAACTTAATATTTCTTTATTATTTCTACATAAACTTTTGCATCAGCGTTAATTAAGGAGTTGAGATGTTCCAATTATCTAGTTAATCTAAGGAACACTTTGTTGTCAAACCTTTCTGCTTCAGTGCTGGAGCTTAATACCAGGAGCCATCAGTAGAATAATAATATGGTTGACCACCTGTGTAAGAGCCTTTCAGTCCTAATTCTTCTCCGAAATTCTAGTTTATTTCTCACAGTGATGCCCGTCTCTCGCTCTCTCTTTCTACTGCCAACTCATGTTGAAGAATACGAACACAGTGCTTCCCAAGCCATTTCTGAATTCAGTACACCGAGTCCACAGATCAGCGGGTAGTGCCAGGTGCAGTCCTAAGATTAGATTTACCTGTGTTCTGTTGTGTGAGATCTGTGAGAAAAGCAGAGGCATCACGTTTACAATCCCACCTGTCAAGACCAAAAACAGAGCAGCGCGTCATTCATATGATACCTCCGTCTGTAATCTGTGGGCTTTTTTACTGTTCCACAGCACAAAAATGTTGATATTCAATATGAGAAGGGAGGCACAGAAAATACCCAAATAGGTTTCCAGATATCACTGCTTGAAATAAAAACATCCCAACAGTATTAACTTAGTAAGGAAGCAAAACTAAATTATGGAAATACTGGTATCATGAATCCCACCTTCTTTTATTAGCATTTTAAACATTTTTTTTGTCAGAAACTTTAGTTTAAATTCAAGCAACTCAAAAATTAAGCAGAAAATATAAAGCTGAAAGTGTCAAAAGCTGTAGTTCATTGAGAGGCCTCTGGTTCCAAAAGTGAGTCCGGTCCTCTAGATTCCCATTTTAAAATGCACTTTTTACAGTAAAAGAAACTATGTTCTATATTTGGTTCAACTTCACATTTAACGACAGCTGTACAGCATTTATTAAGGCTTAGTTTGCATTATAAGGGGCGTGGCCATGTCAGATAGCTAGAGCAGCTCCCAAAGCTGCCATGTGATTGGCTTATGCTCACTAAATATTTCATCATGAGAAGCAGCAGATATGTTGGATCCATTTTTTGGAAAACTTAATTTCTGAAGATCTGAAGATTTGTCTTTGCAATTATGGTATTTTGTTTCTATATTAGCCAAATCAATCGCTGTCACCAAGCTGCAAAAGTTTCCTTGCTTGTTTGCAGTTCAGTTCCTCAATATCATGGCACTTTCTCCCTTTAAAATTCCATTTAGAGAAATCAGTCTCCAAAGGTAGCAGAGAAATAGGTCCCACCCTGCTGAGCTGCACCGCATTAGTCTTGGTTTTGGGGGAGTAGTTTTAGAGTTTCAGCATAGTCTGAATGTTGTTTGAGAAGCTTTTAAAATCCTGACCAGATTTCAGAAGAAAAAGTAATCCATTTTTAATCTTGGGAAAATGATTTAAAGTTGTTCTGTATACTGTTCCACACAACTAGCAGTGACAAACTGCAAAGCAGCTGTCATAGCTGGCAGTTTGCATGTTCAAATGGCTCTCTGAAGTAATGGAAGCGGGTAGGAAGTACAGTCAGAGCTGTCACAGAGATGCTAATGAAACAGAGCAATCACCCCTTAGCCTGCCACAGCTGATGTGTTGCAGTTACTTCAGGAAGTCAGAGTACTCGCTGGTACCCAAACGCACACACTCACTGACACACACACACACACACACACACACACACACACACACGACTCTCCATCCAGCTACCTCCATCTGTTAAGTGAGTCTTAACAGTTGTTCTGACTGAGCTTGCTCTAACTTTTGTTAGAATGCATTTTGGGATATTCCACCTTCTGTTTACTTTAGTCTGATATTTAAGGCTGTGCAGCGAAACCGAAGACACTGACTCATCTTCTGAAAATGTGTTTTTGTGAAAGGAGAAGCTTAACATAAAATGTAGTGATTAGTTTCAACGTAAATTGCTGAAGTACTTCAAAGTTTGTCATTGCTTTGTGAATATTTAACACTGTATATAAAGATGGATGAAATTACGCCTTCCCAGAAGTGTTGCCAATATGCGTCCTAAATGGGCACAGGCTTCCTCTTCTAACAACAAGCTGGGATGTGGAGAAGTGGCAAAAATCTGTCTATGCAGACATATCGTTGGGTGGCTGGACAACTAGTAGGTAGTAGTAGTCCAGAATTTGATGGATGCACTACACAAAGTTCAACACACATCTGTGCCGGGCAGCAGGCAGGACTTTGATGTCTGGGCTCCATCTCCCAGTAATTCCTTAACAGACTTTGGTTTCAAATGACAGCCAATATTGCAGTGCTCATTTCTATTTCTTCCTCACTTCGAACAGTAGGAGAAGATGGCGATGGATCATCCATCTGTACAGTCTGTGGTTTAATGTTACAAAGTGAAGACAGACGGATGAAAAGAAAAAGTTGAAAAGAGTGAAAAAGAGCAGACTGGACATATGGAGGTCACAAAGAGCAAAAATCAGCACAGACTACCATGACGTCACAGATCCATTACTAGCTGGTGCACTAGATTTTTAAAGAAGATTTATAAACAGTTTAATAGATTCGTATTCTAAAGGGAATTAAAGATATTCTCTGTCGACGCTAGATGTTTGTTCCCACGTTTAAACAACGAACAATCACGTATAGGACCTCTGCAACAAGAAAACTGCATTTAGACGAGGGCTGGACTTCAGAAGCAGTGCTTCTTATGTTCTTAATCGCCTGTTTAAAAAGAAAATCTTTGATGTAAAGATGAAAGTTTGACTTTTCCAGCACTTTTATTGTTTGTATCATTTGACTGTAGAAAAGAGAGATTACAAAAAATGAAAAAAACAAAAAACAAAAACAAGAACAAGTGATAGAGAAACCGTTTTTGTTTTGGTTGTGTCTATTCTGAATATTTCCCTTCTGTTCGGATGTGCAGGATATGCGAGTATGCCTGCGTGCGTCTCCTCCAGCGTGTTAAATTGGCGATCCTCCAGCTAAATTTTCACTTGGGACAAAGTCACAGCGAGGCAAATCTGGTGAATACGGCAGCTGACAAGCAGACTGTGTTGGTGTGGGTTAAAAAAAACAAACCTAAAAGCACTCTGAGTCAGCACATGATGGCACTCTGCACACACCACAGTTCCCGTTGATTCTTCTGAATGTTCTGCAAATCACTCAAGACGTTACAGTAAATGCCTGTCATTCCGACTCCGGGGAACAAAGATCAGGGTGAACAACTCGAAAAATGTTCCTGGTTTTGTCCCTTATTTGATGAGCTGCTTTCGTGCTTTAAAACTGGACTTTTCCACTGAAACTATTGAAAACTGCTCATCCTGGCCCACCTCATAGTTTTCTAGTATTATAACCATCCTGGTTTGTAAGATGACCTTGAACAATAAATTGACCAAATTTAAATTAGATAAGGTTCGTGATTTTTATGGTTCGTGATTTTTATTACAAATTCTGGGAATAACATTGAGCTGACAAGATCTACTTGGTGCAACTGTAGATTTGGCGTCCCTGCCAACTGTTATATCTGAAAAGACCAGAGGCTTTTCTTTTGTATTTCCTCTATTGAAAGAGATATTTGCACTTTCACAATTTTCTGGAAAGCTGAATCAAGTAAGGTCTTCCCAGCTATACTGAAATGAGCAATTCCCTGTTGCACATATGACTTGGCTCACTATTATTTATGTTGCTATGTCTGTAAAGTCTCATTCTTCAGTGTATCTTTGCAGTAAAGAGAGACAAGAGTAAGTGGTGAAACAGCAGTGAAGTCAAATGATCAGTCAGAATTCAAATAGTCAGCCTGTGCAAACAGTAGCTTTGCACACATCAGGTGCAGTACTGGGCAAAAGTTTCGAGCTGGCTCTGATTTCTTTATATTTTCCTTGGAAATGGCATTAGAGGAACAAGTCTTAAAGATACATCTACTCCAAGTATTCATAATACAGTCTGAGGATCATGCAAACTGTGGGAGAAACCACAAGATGGGGTTTTGCCAGGAGTTCAAAGGTATGCTTTGGTTACACTTGAAGCCCATTTAAATAACTTGTTTTCTCATTTCTTAGGAGATCTGTTCATGTAATGAAATTCCAATTTTGGTAGCAGCTGGAATGGAAAGTCAGATCGTCATTAGCTTCAACATCCTTTGCAGTACAACAGACTGGAAAAGGGCCACAAAGACACAATGATAAAAAGAAGAAGACAAAAAAAAGGAAGAATGTGAGCTTTATTGCACAAAGCTGAAGCTTACCCAGAGCCACTGTGCCCATTAGGAAAGGTTTTCCCATCTGACTGAAGTCACTGCTGCTCTGAAGGCCGACCTCTGACCCCACTGCAAATGTCACAGCCACCTGAGAGACACACAGACGAGTTCACACACACAGGCCTTCTGTTACATCTCAGGCAGTATATTTTTCCCTAGTTCTAAATAAAAGAAGAGAAACATCAAGTTTTTCTTTGTGCAGGAAGATAATTAATTCTTCCACCATAACACAACCGAGACAGGACAGTTACATAAAAAAAAACATTCATTTCTTACTTCTAAAACAAGTTATGTATAAGCACTTTGGGTGACTTGTTATGGTGCACCTGCCCCGCTGTAGGTACCAAAGCACTTTTTAATCTCTTAAACTTGCGAACCCTGGAGAGATAGCAGGTTGGAAGTTTATATTGACATCGAGTGAAACAACTCTGCTATCTAACAAACTTTCAGCATTGCTGTTAGTTTCTCATGCTGACACCACAACATGTGCAAAGGGAAAAAAACAACAACAAGACAAGCAAAGCTGTGCAAATTATGACATTTTTTTGTGTGTGTTAGTCATACTTCCCATCTAATATTTCAGATGCTATCAACTGTTTCTACACTGCAAAAATACTTTAGGGCAAATTTACCACACAGCCCAAATTAGTAGGTTGGAAACATCTGGGGTTGATCTACTAGTGGCCCCAGTGTTTTCTGGCATCTTCAACTCCTCACTGCAGGCATGTCATGTGCCTGCCTGCTTCAAGTCCTCTACCATAATCCCTGTCCCCAAGAAACCTAGGATCACTGGACTAAATGACTACAGACCCGTGGCTCTGACATCTGTGGTCATGAAGTCATTTGAGCGCCTGGTTCTCTCCCATCTCAAGACCCTCACGGCCCCCCTCCTGGACCCCCTGCAGTTTGCATACAGAGCCAACAGGTCTGTAGACGACGCCATCAACATGGCCCTACACTTCATCCTGCAGCATCTGGACTCCCCAGGAACCTACGCCAGGATCCTGTTTGTGGACTTCAGCTCTGCCTTCAACACCATCCTTCCAGACCATCTCCGAGGCAAGCTTTCCCAGATGAATGTGCCTGATCCCATCTGCCGGTGGATCACTGACTTCCTGACGGACAGGAAGCAGCATGTGAGGCTGGGAAAGAATGTCTCGGACTCCCGGACCATCAGCACCGGCTCCCCTCAGGGCTGTGTTCTTTCTCCTCTGCTCTTCTCCCTGTACACCAACTGCTGCACCTCCACCCACCAGTCTGTCAAGCTAATCAAGTTTGCAGATGACACCACCGTTATTGGACTCATCTCGGACGGGGATGAGTCTGCCTACAGGAGGGAGGTTGAACGTCTGGTGTCCTGGTGCAGCCACAACAACCTGGTGCTGAATGCCCAGAAGACAGTGGAGATTATTGTGGACTTCAGGAAGCACACAGCCCCACTCCCCCCCATCATCCTGACTGACACCCCCATCACCTCTGTGGACTCATTCCGCTTCCTGGGTACCACCATCACCCAGGACCTGAAGTGGGAGCCCACCATCACCTCCGTCATCAAGAAAGCCCAGCAGAGGATGTACTTCCTGAGGCAGCTGAAGAAATTCAACCTGCCAACACGGACGATGATGCAGTTCTACACTGCAATCATCGAGTCCATCCTCACCTCCTCCATCACCGTGTGGTACGCTGGAGCCACTATCAGGGACAAACAGAGACTGCAGCGTGTTGTGCGCTCTGCTGAGAAGGTGATTGGCTGCAGACTCCCATCTCTGCAGGACCTGTACACCTCCAGGACACTGCGGCGTGCAGCTCGGATCTCAGCTGACCCTTCTCACCCTGGACACAGTCTGTTTGACCTGCTCCCCTCAGGCAGGAGGCTCCGGTCCATTCGCACCAGAACCTCTCGCCATAAGAACAGTTTCTTCCCCTCTGCTGTTGGACACATGAACAATAACCACATGACTGTCCCCGCCACTAACACATGACCCTACGCTGTGTCACTGCATCATTTCATGTTTGGCACTGATCACCACCTGCACTCATGTATATATCTTTCTACGTAGCACTCATAATTCTTATTCTCATGTATATATCTCATGTATATCTCATGCACATATCTTTCTTTTACATAGCACTTTAATTCTTATTGTTTGCACTGAAGCACCGCAGCAATTTCCTAATGTTGTAAACCTCAACATCTGGCAATAAACCCCATTCTGATTCTGATTCTAGTAATATGCCAAATTTTGAACTGAGGTGTACCAGTAATGATGACCAAGGCACTTTAAGAAGACCACAAAAATTGCATGGAGCCACAAACAAGAAGAACTGTGTCAGGAACCGAGACTGTGCTGGCAACACATATTCAGCTTGTAACTCGCCATCCAACAAAATACTCCAAGCGTACGTTTCCTGAATGAGTTTTTCTTGGAAAACAGCACAGCAGCACAGACTGAGAGAGACAGGAAAAGAAAAAAAAATCTGCAGTATAATTGGAGGTCTTAGTGGACAAATTGAACAATTTTAGTAACATCAAAATTGCAATGTCTAGCCTGGCCACAAAAGGGACGCATGAAACACGACTGAGGGCAGTGTGACTGCAGCAGAAGGAAATTTCTAAAAGGATATCACAAAATTACAACAGCAATGGATGACTTGAAGTGACACAAGTAGTAAATAGTCATTTTTTCTACTTTCACACAGCCCGTGTAGACTAATGTCTTTTTTCCAAACCAAGTTTAGCAAGCTGGAGGTCTGTGGTTCTGATGAAGTCATTTTCTGGCCTGAACAATAAGCCTCTTGCTAGTTTTCTTGCAGTTATGGGACAGCATTTCAAATAGTTCTAATTGCGACAGATCATCACTACATTATCAGTAGTGTTAAAGCACTGGAACTTGTTTTTTCAAAATATCCAGACTATACCTGTAAGCATCTCAGAATAGTTTAGACAGGGGTGTCCAACTCCAGGCCTTGAGGGCCGGTGTCCTGCAGGTTTTAGATATCACCCTGGGCCAGCACACCAGAATCAAATGATTAGTTCAATACCAGGCCTCAGGCCACTTCAAGATATGTTGAGGAGGTAATTTAGCCATTTAAATCAACTGTGTTGGATCAAGGACACATCTAAAACCTGCAGGACACCTGCCTTGAGGCCTGGAGTTGGACACCCCTGGTTTAGAGCATTTGCACAGCCTTCCTCATAGTCATCCCAACTCATCAGAAGTCAGTCACCTCTTCCTTTGCTGGTTTTGAACAGTTTTATTCTTCTTAATAATGGCCTATTAAGTGTAGACCAAGTGTAAAATGTAAAAAGTGTATAGATAAGAAAATATGAAAAGCATTGATATTTCAAGTTGGACAACAGACAGAGATTTCTTTTATTATATTAAGATTTTAGAATTATGCTACATGATAAAAATGCATAACTTATCATGTTTATAATCACACCACAGACATGTCGTATGAGCCATGTAATACATACAGTGAATGCATATGTTTTATACATTTCTCCCCCCACATGTGGCCTGAGGGACACAGGATAAAGACTAAAACACAAATCTCAGCAGATTCTTTTGCATTTATATTGTTCGTTCTATGTTTTGAAGTAGTGTGTAATGAATGCTCAGTATCGGTGCTGTGATTACAGGCTGTGAATTCTGAAAATGTGTGATTCTGACCACAGATGAAGCTGTTTTGTTGTGCTGGTTTGATTGTTTGGGAACACTTTGAGTTTTGTGAATGTAGTTTGAAAATTGAACTTGATGTTTACAGTTTAGAGAAGAGGGTTGAAGGTTTCAAGAAATGCGTCTTTGCAATCGTGAAAAAACTGTAACCCAGAAATAAAGAGTTGAATTGAGAACTGTCCACATTTTAAAGAAATGAGCTGGTTCAGTTTTCCAGCGCTGACCGTAACCGCCAACATAACAGAGTGCTCATAAAGAAAGTGTACAGAGCACACTTTGTGCTGAATCAAGCTGGAGGGTAGGCTTTGACTTGATCTTTCATCCCTCCTCAAAGATGTTGTGCCGACATGACTCACTTGTTGACTTTGATTTTTAGGTTACATTGTGCTGTGTGATGCTTTCAGCAACACTCCAGTTTTGGCCTTTGGCTTTTTGAAGTACACAATATTTGCAGTATGCAAATATCGACTCCACAGAGAACAGCTGTACTTACTGTACGCAGTATCTAAATTCTCTTACTGACCTTTGTTTATTTTTTCAAGAATGCAAAATACATTAACTTTATCATCAAACCATAAACTTTTACAGTCGCCTCATGCCCTGAAATTATTTTTCTATATTATGATGTACCATATGCTCAGTGAGGTTTTTATTTGGCCTGAGCCACTTGGTTTTTAAACACAGATGAAATTGCTTTGAGGATATCATTTGATTATTTTCCCGGAAAAGTCAATCATTCCATGAATGTCGTTTGAAAAATGGGTCTCTTGTTTACCGTTTGGAGTAAAAGATGGAAGGTTTCAATGAAAGAAATTCAAGAACTGAAAAACTTTCTGCAATTTCATGTCAGGCGAGTATTTGTGATGTCTAATTTTTATTTCTGCAGCATCAAACAGGATTTGAAAACATTTGTTGACATTTTCCATCTCAGGCTGAGAAACAGGAGACAAAACCCACGCTGGAAGCTCACCTGACGTGAACAACAATAGTCATATCAGAAATCAGCTTACCATTTCGTAAGATGAGTAAGTGTGATCTGTATGTTGCCAAAACATGAGTGCAAGAGCAACTGGTGTTTTAGTGCACAAAAACACTATGTACTTTTTTTCAAAAGAACAAGGAAGAGGAAATTGGGGTGAAGGAGACCGGTAGTGTTAAAAACAAATGAAAAAAAAAATAATAATAGCAGCAAGTTAATTAGAGGTGAGAAAAAAAAAGGGATGGGCTGAAAAGCAAAATGTGGAGAAAGACTAGAAAAAATGGGAAAGAGAGAGGAGGACACAGAACTGGTTTTAATGACTTCAAAGTCCTAGACACATATTTCAGCTGATGCTTTTAGGTTATTTCGTAGTTGTTTGATCTAATGTTAGTCCTAAGAATTAAAAAATTAAAAAAAATCTCCCCCTCC